GAGGGAGGGAGGGAGGGAGGGAGGAAGGAAGGAAGGAAGGAAGACCTTTAGGTCTTAAGTAGTGTTTATCAAACATGACTGGGATTATGACGAAGAAAGGAAGAATTCAGACCAGAGAGGGTTAATACAAAACCAGCTGCTTTCTTGTAAATTGCCAGAATTCTCATGACTTGAACTAAAAACTTAGCTAAAATGATTAAATTTTCTATTTGTGAGTCTGCTAATAGTTTAGGAACTAGAATATCTACTGAAGACACTATCCACTGTAATGTCAAAGGTTTAATCCATTTCTGTTTCCCCTTGATATACTTTGTTGTTGTTCAATCGCACAGTTGGTAGGTTTAATGCTGTTGGTAGGTGTAATAAAATGGCAGTTACCTGTGTTTGTAAGATGGCTGCTGTCTGTGGTTGGTTGTTTAAAATGTTCCCCCATAAGGTTTAATTGAGCTGTCATTCCAGAGAGGGGCCTGCAGGGTTATCACTCACTGGGTTGAATGGGGTTTCCTCATCTGCTGGCCTACAGTTCCCAGCTGCCCCAAGGCCAAAAAGTGAGAAAAAAGAGGGACTATCCCAAGGGGCAGGGCAGCATCAATATAGATTCCAGCCCATCCAGCTGAGTTGTAAACTGGAGAGTTGAGACCGTTTCACCGTGGTAGGCAACCAAGCTTGGTTCAGACAAAGGAAGGAAACCCTTCACAGGCCTTTGTGAGGAACTTATTGTGGCCTGTCCTGAGTAGGGTTGCCAGCTCCAGGTAGGGAGATTCCTGGAGATTTTCTGGTAGAATCTATGGAAGCCAGGGTTTGGGGAGGGGAGAGGCCTCAGCTGAATGCCATAAAGCCCACCTTCCAAAGCAGTTATTTCCTCCAGGGGGAGAGGTCTGCTGTCTGGGGTTCAGCTGTGATACCTGGTGATCTTCAGGCTCCACCTGGAAGTTGGCTGCCCTAGGCATAGCAGTCAGTGCTTCAGAGCAGGGTCTGCTAGAACCAGGTTCTTGCTGTAGAAGCTGAGTGGGTGATGTTGGACCAGTCACAGACTTTCAGCCTAACCTACCTCACAGGGTTGTTGTGCAAGTCAAACGGGGAGAGGAGAATGATGTAAGCTGCTTTGGTCCCCATTGCAGACAAAGACTACTTTTCCTCCTGGGTAGAGACTGAAGGTGGGTGGGAGATGGAAAGCTGAAGAGTGAGGGGGAAATAAAGGTAGGTTGATGATTGGCTGGGAGGGAGATAGGGTTGCCAACTCCAGGTGGGAAATTCCTGGAGATTTGAGGGATGGAACCTGCAGTGGGTGAGGTTTGAGGAGGGGTGGGACCTCATACAGGTACAATTAGCCGCCCCCCGCCCAACCTGCCATTCCCTCCTGGGGAACCAGTGTTGCCAATCTCCAGGTGAGAGGTGGAGATCACTCAGAATTACAACTGATCTCCAGGAGGGAGGGGGGAGGAGATGGAAAGCTGAAATCAGAGGGGCAGATAGTGGTAGGTTGATGTTAGGCTGGGAAGAAGATAGTGTTGCCAACTCCAGGTTGGGAAATTCCTGGAGATTTGAGGAGTGGAGCCTGGAGAGGGTGAGGTTTGAGGACCTCAGACAGGTACAATGCCATAGACTTCACCCTCCAAACCAGACATTTTCTCCTGGGGAACCATTGTTTCCAATCTCCAGGTGAAGGGTGGAGATCACTCACAAATACAACTGATCTCCAGGAAGGAGGGCAGAAGTTAGCTTCAATCAGAGGGGCAGGTAATGGTAGGTTGATGGTTAGCTGGGATGAGGTTGCCAACTTCAGGTTGGAAAATTCCTGGGGATTTTAGGGGTTGAGCCTGGAGAGGGTGGGGTTTGAAGAGGTCACCACAGCAAATTGATGCTGAGTGCCCAAAGCCTTGGCACTCTCCCAGAGCCTCTTTCTAGAGCTTATTGTATTTATTTCCACAATGGGCCTTATTCCTAGTATGCATATATTCCTAATCAGTACTGTGAAAATAAGGCTTTTGAGAATCTGATGGGGGGGGGGTGGTTATCCATACAACAACCCTGCCTGTAAGATGGGATAGGCTGAGGGGTGGGATTTAAACTATACAACAGAGT